ATTCATATTTGTTATTCTATTATTTGAAGTACAAGATTCATATTTGTTATTCTATTAATTGGAGGTCAATTAACTAGCTGGAAGTTGTCTAACTTTAAGAGAATTTGAAGTACAAGATTCATATTTGTTATTCTATTAATTGGAGGTCAATTAACTAGCTGGAAGTTGTCTAACTTTAAGAGAATCTGAAGTACAAGGACCTATTAATTGGTCAACTAACTAGAAGTTACCTAACCTGAAAGCTAATTAACTTAGAGCTAACATAGAGGATTTGCAAACAATTATAATATCAATGTTATAAAAAGAAGAAAATTATAACAAAGTTCAGATTAGTATGAATGCATGAGGTGCATGATTGTGCAATATGTAGTAAACTATAAAGGTCGAATGTTGCGGTTTTGAAAATCTAAGAAGAAACGGGCCATTTTGCGTGCAGAAGATTGGCATTTCGAAGAAACGTTTCGTATTTTAAACATTTTACTGAAGTGTGATACATTAGCATAGTCGATGAAAAATACGTATTAAAAAGCGGCTACATCGTCCAATTATAATCTGACGTGAAACGTTTGAACCGTGTAACGCGAATCGACTTTTCTGTAATAACTACGCTCAACGATAGTTGCACGAAATGATACGGAATAATAGTAAGCCAAGACAGATCTCAAGATAGCGTTTGTCATAATAACAAGGTAATAGAGCGTTTCAAATTTGAAGAAACACCCGCGTTCCACTTTTAGTTCGTATCTTTTTTTGTTGGCAGTCCTCAGTTTGCATTTCCTCGTGCAAGAGGCTTATCGTAGGGCTAGCAGGATGATTAGCCGCATGAAGCTTAAGAATTGCAGAATGCACGATATGAATACGTGATACATGTTGCGGCCGAAGGTCGAGTGAAAAAGGCGATAATATTAACATTGTACGCTTCCTTTGCATAAAAATTTGCAATCACATTATGTACCTTGATACGAGAAAAATTAATTGTCAACTCGATGGCAACATTCTTAGCACGTGAACCGAGTGTCGAAAAAACTCGAAAGTGTTATCACCTTCATATTTTACAAGCTCCGAGTCTATAAAGTTGAAGATATAATCGCAGAGGTCAATGCAATGACCTCTTAAATATTTAAACTACGAAAGCAATCTTTTATTATTTATAAAGCTTATCGAAAATGCAACGTTAAGTATACATTTTATTGCATGTGAGTTATATTCGCAAGAATATAGTGTTATATTAAATTGCAGGCGATTCGTCGTATTCCGATGGTCATCTTTATAATATTTCCTTGGCATGGAGAATAGTCGATACTTCGGGTTTGCGTGTCTGGCGTGGAAGGCGGCTGACCAGATTCGTTCCTCGACCACTTAAGTAATCGAGCGACGGCCGAGCGGCTCGTATATCACGGTAAGCGTGAATCAGCAGGATTCGGTGAATACCAAATCTCAACTTTCCTTAAAAATAATTCCTTTTACTCTTCTTTTACAGCTCTAAGTCAACAGTTGCTTTAAGATCCTTTTACAAGTATTTTTATGGGACAGAATAGTACTTAATTAGCAACAATGAAGGTCAGCATTACTAAATACAAATTCCAGTTAATATTCAGCATACGTTGTATTAACACATCACCACATAAGACATTAAAACATTGATTAAATCTGGAAGAATCATGCAGATCAATAGTCCTCTGAAAAATAACAGAAAGTCTTTTTATTGTTATTGTTCCTTATGTTTGCCTAATAACGGCACCGATTAAAATCAGAATTTCAAGCACGCACCTTCGTGATATTTATGGGGAAATGTCGGATATCGCTCAAGCCTCTTATCTTCATGGAGAACGACACTTTACGACTTTCTGAAACTAAAGAAAAAGAATGACTGATTATGAACTGAGCCCTTCTGGTTTTATAGTAAAGTCAATACCAGAGGACACCGTTCTGGAAAACTCATACGTTTTCCCTATTACTCATTGCCAGCATTTCCAGGACAAACTCGTTGACCTCTTTGAATAGTTTGATTCTTAGACACGACAGCAATTTCATATATTTCCATCATGAAGGAGAACTTGTAAAACAATCATTGGCATAAGGGAAACCTAACACTCCTCAAAACTGATAAAATTTGTAATTCACACAATTAGTAAAATTACAGAAACTAAAATCCTTGTTAGGCCAAAGTCTGCAATAGAAAAAGAACTTGCAAAACAATCATTGGCATAAGGGAAACTTAACACTCCTCAAAACTGATAAAATTTGTAACTGACATAATCAGTAAAATTACAGAAACCAAAATCCTTGTTAGGCCAAAGTCTGCAATAGAAAAAGAACTTGCAAAACAATCATTGGCATAAGGGAAACCTAACACTCTTCAAAAGTGATAAAATTTGTAATTCACACAATTAGTAAAATTACAGAAACCAAAATCCTTGTTGCACCAATGTCTGCAATAGGTCAGAATGAAGTCATTTCCCTTTTTTAGTTTCTAATACTGTTTCAGTTGTGCAATACATTAGACACCGTCGACACACGTCCAGTGGAACAATCATTACAGTGATATCGTCTTTGTGTTAGCCTACTCCAAGCTTTCACCCTACTACAAGTTGAGTGGCCTCCACTTATCCTACTGCCATCGCTGTCTTCCTTGCTTCTGTAATATACGCTTGTTGTGGTACATTAATTGATGTCGCTGCTCATATGTTTCCATGTTTTACAGGACCATGTAAATTATTAGGGAGCACAGAACACCTGCAATTATATTTATGGTCATTATTCATACTTGTCAGGTATCAGATTTAAATTGAAATAATAATGAATATGCCAGATTGAGTTGCTATCATGTAACATGATTAAAGACCAGTTTTTAGTTCTACTTACAGTTATCATTGAATGTTACATCCAAGTCATTAAGATGATATCCAGGTGCTTGTAGGTCAAACTAGATTATGCAGAACCATTGAGTATTTGACTTTAACTAACAAGATAAGATGCAGAGGCATATTTTTCAAGGTGCATCAAGGAAACATCGCGTACATCATAAGGGTTATCAGGTCCGTTTCAACAATGTCCTCGAGGTTCAGATCCAAATTTAGAACAAGCGTTCCATGCCAGTGGGCCATGAAAAAAATTATATTAAATTAAACGTGAACACGAAACCGTGGCTCCCGTTAACTTATTAAGCAATTCATTAACTCACAATGGTTTAGAATTTAGACGCAGTATAAAATTTAAAAAATAGATGGTCAAACGTGATAATATTACATTGTTGACTTTAAGTAATACCATTTCATTTCAGACAATATTTTTACGAATTATAAGTTTTCTTCGCATCGTTCGCTCGAAGGACAACCATGTTTACGTGGTGCGTGTTTCGGATTTCGTGTCGTGAACATACCACAAAAGTCGCTACCGATAAAAAGTGTCGATCTTATCCTAAATAACGATAAAAATAACCAAAAAGGTATTCCATGAAATGAAACGGATAGGAAAGAAAAAAGACTTCTTTTATGTTCAATTCTGTATTGTCATAATTTGTTATACAAAAAGCGTCGTCTCAGGAAAAAACTGTGGAACAAACTATATGTTTACACTGTTTTCTTTACTCTTTTCGGCAGCTTAACAATTCTTTTTTTACCCATTTTTCTAGCTAGAGGTGTTTTCGCTTTAATTGCCTTTCTAATACTGCGACCAACAACCTTCTTCTTTTTCGCTGGAGGCTGCTGTTTAATTTCCTCCACTTCGACTTCAGATGACATTTCTTCAATGATGGCAACTGAATCAGTCGAGTCGTTCAAAGCTTTTGGAACCTTTGGAGAACTTTTTTGCGCGGGAGTTGGTTTGGCATTTATATTTCTCTTCACAGGTTTCTTATTTAATTGAGTCGCAGCTGCTTCTTTAACATAAGGTTGAGCGTTCATTCTTGCTTTTTTGCTATTGGATCTAACCATTAATTTACGTTTCTGTTTAGGCAAGCGTGTGCCGACGTTCCGTTCGAATACTGCGATGAAGAATCCATTACACAGATCTACGTCGGGTTTGGTATAAAGACACTTGTCTGAACAAGTGAAGTCCCTCGAGCTAAAGTGCAACCAATTTTCTTTGTACAGATCCTTTGTGTCCACAAGTTTATACGAATCTTTCACGTTGGTTAGAATTTCGTCTACCACTTGTTCATTTTCTTCTGGATTAATAGAGCAAGTACTGTATACTACTTTCTTTACGTTTGGAAAATGCAAAAGGGCGCGTCGTAATAGGAATACTTGGAAACTTTGTAACTGCCTAAGTCGTTGTGGATCAGGCTTCTCTTTTTCATCTGTTATCTGTCTGTCTAACATACCTGAACAATTTTGCACAATAAATTAATTATAAATTTTACCATGGGAATATCTTATGTTAACATAAAAGATTGTACCTGATCCGGAACACGAGGGATCAACCAAAATGTATTCCACGTCTTTAAAGTTATTTCCGTCAAGTTTTAAGGCATCTTTCTGAATAGTTTTGACGCAAGTAGCGCCCGTCGCTTTTACTTGTTTGCATAAAAATGCATATCTTGACACGTCAAACTCTACTGCATAAATTGTCCTGCAAGTAACCAATCGAATTAAATTAAAGAAACTGCGTATTAATAAAATAAAAACGTACCCTGTATTGTTCATTAATGCAGCTAAGTGAGATGTTTTCATTCCAGGCGCTGCACACATGTCGAGGACGACGGATCCAGGTTTTGGATCCAATATCTTTGCGGCGAGACAACTAGCCTATAAAAAAAAGAGAACAATGTAAACAATTGAAGTGTAAATAACTTGTCAATTAATAAATAAACACTACCTTATCCTGAATTAAAATTTCACCGGCTTCATATCTACGGTCATCTTGAAAATTTGTGCCTTTTGGAAATACAAATAATTCCGGAATGTGGAAATCTTGAATAAAATTCGGCTTTTCTAAATTTTTTACTACTTCTAAATGCTTTGTATAATCGGAACATTTTGGTAGGAGAACCCATCCTTCTTCTTTGAAATAAGATATTCCCTTCTCTAATGGTAATTTTATAGTGTTGATGCGAACGTATCTTGCTTTATGTACTGAAAAAATGAAACTAGTTTTAGCAAATGTACAAAGGTGCAAGGCTTTATAAAGTAAAACTCGTGCTTTCTGGCTGAACCATTTATTGATAGATACATATCAATTTAATATCGAATACTGAAAATATATTATTGTAGTAATAATAAAAAATGTATAAAATATATAAATTATATTCTATAGTACAATTACTACAAATATCTATATATCATTAATATACTTTTAAAGTTAAAATACATGCAATGTAATAGTAATTACATGATAATTATATTTTCTTGTATTATATAAAAAATTATTTTTTTTTTTGCTTAATCAGATTTTTTATTGAGATCACTTTTAGAAGGCTGATCTGCAATTGCATCAACCTCAGCACTATCAGGTTCATGAAGTGCCTGATAGGCATAACAAGCTATTATTAAGTTTACCATGATTACTGCAGCAAATACAGATATACAATTAGTTACAAATCTATCAAAGTGAAATTCGACTTTTAGAACATGTTCAACTCCAAAAAATGTAGCAAATGGTAATGTAAACATAGCAACGCTATATAAGAACAGTTTTAGTAAAACTGCAGTCAAACTCATAATTTCTGTGTTTTTATTCTGAGTGTTAGAACTATCTTTATGCTGCAGTTTTTGTTGATTTTTATGTATGTAAGATAAAAATCTTTTAATTCTAGGATGACGACTAGAAAGTATTCGGTTGTTGCGGATGATTAAAACCATCAATCCAGATGCACAATTCCTTTACAAAGAAACTGATCTAATATATTTTCAATTCGTAGTCGAACCTGGTTATTTATATTTTTAGACAAGGATGACCCATTTCTGTAAAAATAACATACATTTATTGGTAATGAAATGAAATTTTATACCTGAATCGGGTGTTTCGTGTTCGTCAGTAGTTTTAATGGCACTCAATTCCTCTTTCAATTTTGTTTCATAAGAAAGTATAATTTGAGCAGGCTTGCACTCTGTTTTTAGAGCTTTTTTACCCCAAAGTAATTCTGTTATAAGAACTTTTGCTAACCATGGATCCAAACGGGGCTCATTTGTCAATAGGCCAGTTTTACTTAGAATAGTATTTAATTGTTCTGATTTTCGAATTGCAGTCATGCATAACGAAAATAATGCAGCCACATTCTGCATCATTAAATGAAAATTGATAAATCATTATTGGCATCATAAATAAATATTCTGTTATATTATAAGTAAAATAACGCGCAAAATTTTTTCAAGAACCACGTGACATAGCTGAGCGGAAAAGTTATAATACTCTTTTTAAAATTCGAAATTTTAATAAATTAGTATGTATTTATTCAACTATTTAATTGTTTGATTTCATTTGTAGTAACAACTGTTAACTTACAGGATGATTTTGTTTATAAAGCACTGATTTAAGACCGCTACGTTTCTCGCCAACTTCTTGTAGGACCTTAGCTGCTGCTTTATAAAGTCTTGGGACTTTAACAGAATGTACAAACCCGCGAGACATGTTGTCGTATCAAAAGGGATAACTAAACAAAATCTAACTTAATTTTGAACACTTACTCGTTAATTATTTCTCAAATGTTATAAGATAATGTGCCTCGCCTCGTGTGAAATGAATTAAAACCACATCGCCATTTGCATTTGTGAAGGCGCGTTTCGAATAAGCTAACGGTCTTCCTGTTCCTTTTTTTTTCAATCAATTCAAATAGAAATGAACCTTGAACCATTGAACATCACGTGTTTGTTACCACTTCCAATCAGTCCACATTTGTTCACATGTGAACTTATTTTAATAAGCTTCGATCTTCTAGCTACTTCTTTAGATATTTTGTAGTCACGAAATGTTATTCATTGTTTTATACACGATCGGATCCATAATTGGTTAGAAATATGAGATACTACAGGAATTATAACTGATATCGGTGAGATTACAAGTTTAGACAGTAAATAAAATTCCATAGCGTTACAGGTTAGACTCCGCCGAATGATGAAATGTATATTCTTGTTTTTTTAGTAGCAGATTTTGTTTTTTATAAATATGAGAATCCGCATAATAAACAGATAATATTACTTGTTCAATTAGTATGAAGCATAGTATACGTCGTGATTTTTGTAAATGAATTACAGAGGCGTAAAAAGCTCTGTTGCAATCGCTTAGTACAAAATGTACACATCAAATTGTCAGAATTTATAAATATCATTATTGTTATACCTAAGTCTATCACGTCGATCAGTATTAAAGCACATTATTTATTTATATTGCAGACACAATTCCAATGAAGTTATAATATAATAATTTTTTTCTTTATTTTGTAAAGTATATTGATTAAACATATGAAAATAGTTTTTTTATGTACTAGATGTGGCAAAGAATTATTTACAATTGTATCATGAATAAATTGTTTTAGAAAGTTCGGACTAAAGGAGGCATTCAAAGTTGCATCACATTTATATTACAACAAAGGACATTTCAATGACTAAAGACAAGAAGGTTTTATTACCTTATTATAAATATTGTATAGCGCTTATTACATGTGATAGATTTCATGTAATTAAACATGTATACATATACAAGTATACAAAGTTTTATTTTGTTTAGTTGATGAGTTTCAGAAGAACATTTTGATATGTGTACTTCAATGGCTTTTTATATATGTTCATCTGTTGTTAAACATTTAAGTTTATTTATGCTATATATTTTGTTGTTCTTTTTATGTTCAACTATTACAGTTGTATAAAAGAGTTCAAATACCATAATTTTGCTCAATGTGTGTGTAAATAAGAAACAGTAATTGTACCTTGTAGATATAAATGTTGTTAGAAAGTATTTAATTGTTGCTTTTTTATGATTTCAGTTGATCCTGCATGCCGTGCACTGCATCAACGTCCTGTCCAAAATATTGCACTGTATTTTTTCTTACTTTGCCAAACACTTCATTTATACAATAAACTTATAAGGACTAATGGCTGCCTACATCAATCGTACAATGTCCATGATTGGAGGAGACAGCCACTTAAGATCAACAGATATAAGAACTGATAATTCTCCCCTTCAGATCTTTGTGAAAGCCAAGAAAAAGATCAATGATATATTTGTGGAAATAGAAGACTATGTGCAGGATACTGTGACATTTATAAAGAGTAAGTCATTCTAATTAACTGCAAAGCGTTATGTAATACCAACCAAGTATAATGAACTTATATTCTGTAGCACTGAAAACAGAGCACAATATTGTTACGGGTGAAGAAGCGCAAACAATTGAAAGTTATGTTAACAAAGTACACGCAATTCGAGATGTTCTTATGAGGGATCATATGAAAGTGGCTTTTTTTGGAAGGTACATAATAGTGTAATATGTAATAGCAACGATTGTTTAAATTAAATATTATAATCTTATATAAATGTTATAGGACTAGCAATGGAAAAAGTACAGTTATTAATGCAATGTTACGTGACAAGATTTTACCCAGTGGAATAGGACACACAACAAACTGTTTCTTACAAGTGGAGGGTTCAGATAATGGTGAAGCATATCTTATTACGGAAGGATCTACAGAAAAGCAACCTGTCCAATCAGTTGGTCAGTTAGGTCATGCTCTCTGTAAAGAAAAACTATGCGAGAGTCATTTAGTGAGAATATTTTGGCCAAAGGAAAAATGTTTACTGCTAAGAGATGATGTAGTATTTGTTGACAGTCCTGGAGTAGATGTAACACCTAATCTAGATGAATGGATCGATAAACACTGCTTGGATGCAGATGTTTTCGTTCTAGTAGCTAATGCAGAATCTACCTTAATGGTCACTGTAAGTGTTACCAGTTTTTGTTTCTTATATACCCACATCAATTGTATACAATGCCAAATTTGCAGGAAAAAAACTTTTTCCACAAAGTGTCTACAAAATTATCTAAACCTAATATTTTTATTCTTAATAATCGATGGGATGCATCTGCTTCTGAACCAGAATTCTTTGAACAGGTATGTATTGCATACAATTCCATGCATTGTGTAAGTGACCTTATAATACACTTGTAGTAGTTACAGATCATTTTTCAAAACATTTTCTCAGCAATGAAAGAAATCAATTTTTTTAAAGATTTTTTATTAAAGCTGGTACTACATATTAAGATCCTGAAATCTGTATTCATATAAATATTATTTGCTATATATTATATATATGTTAAAACCATATTTGTAAAATTGAATTCATTGATAATTAGCTGTATGCAGTGGCAGCTTTACTTAAATAATACCCCATTTATCCCTTAGCTGGTCAAAGAGCAAAAGGAGGTAAGTTATTTTAGAAATTTTATTATCTGTAGTGTACTTCGAATGTATCAACAATTTTTGTCTGCAAATAAAATTAATATTACACTATGCAATATAATCTTCGTGCACAAATGGCATGGGAAGTATCAACAAAAGATTAAATTTTATAAAATTCTAAATATCACAACAGGATATTGTGCTTAGAATATGTGCAACATATTTCAACACGGCAGTGTACGTGTTAATATGTGCTTCTTGCTTGTTAATTTGTCTGTTACGAGTTACTATGTAATTTGTATTTATTATGGTCTACGTTTGTGTAGGTAAGGGCGCAACATCAAGAACGGGCCGTAGATTTCTTGTCAAGGGAATTAAAAGTATATACCCCTAAAGATGCAGAAGAACGAGTGTTCTTTATTTCAGCAAAAGAAACTCTACAAGCTCGTATACAAGAACAACGTGGACAACCTGCTCATAGTAAGTAAAACTTATTAAAGATTCAAAACAACGTACTTATCTGAAATGTTATTACAGATGGTGCATTAGCAGAAGGATTCCAAAATCGCTACTTCGAATTTCAAGATTTCGAACGAAAATTTGAAGAATGTATTTCCAAGTCTGCTGTGAAAACGAAATTCGAACAGCATTCTCAACGTGGAAAACATATTGCTACGTAAATAGTCTATCATTTATTAATTTTTCATGCAGATATTTACTACTTTGTGTATAAATGAAAATGTTCTTTTTTTCTTTTTAAGAGAAATTCGACAAACGTTAGATGAAATATTAGATAGAACGCAAAAGATGAAGAACGAACAATTACACGTTAAGAAAGAAGTACATGACAAATTAAATTTCACCGAACAGCAGTTAATGTTACTGACCCAAGAAATGAAGGACAAAATTCATCACATGGTAGAAGATGTGGAACAAAGAGTATCGAAAGCTCTAAGTGAAGAAATTCGTAGATTAGCTGTACTCGTTGACGAATTTAGTGTTCCTTTCCATACTGATCCATTAGTTTTAAATGTATATAAACGAGAACTCCACACTCACGTGGAAAACGGTTTAGGTATTCTTCAATTTATTCTACATATTTTTCATTTGATCGGATTACTAATTCTGTGATTATACAGGTTCTAATTTAAGAGCGAGACTTAGTACTGCGCTTGCTTTGAACATAGAAAATTCACAAAGAGAAATGACAGAACGAATGGCAAACTTACTGCCAGAAAATAAGAGGCAAATGTCATTAAACATTTTACCAAGAAGGGAGCCATTCGAAATTTTGTACAGATTAAATTGTGACAATTTGTGTGCTGATTTTCATGAAGATTTAGAGTTCCGCTTCTCTTGGGGAATTACAGCCATAATTAATAGATTTGCAGGAAAGCAAGGGAAGAAACTAGCTATTGCTAACTACCCGCAGGATGTATGTTAAATCAATATGGACTGAAATAGTTTATAGAGATGAAATTATCGATTTTTTATATTTATAGATACCACCTCCTATTATGAGTCCTGCAGAAAGTATCGATTCTTTAAAGTTGATGTCAAGTGCTCCTTCAAATTTCCCACAGAGGTCAGAAGATTGGTCACTGGCTACCAAAATCGCGGTAGCATCTATCACGTCGCAGGGTACTATGGGAGGACTCATTGTTGCTGGTTTTGTAAGTGAATATAATATAAAATACGTTTATGCAAGTATTGCAATTTTTATCCTATAAAAATTCTGTTAGATGTTGAAAACGATTGGTTGGAGGCTTATAGCTGTAACTGGTGCTATATACGGTGCTTTATATCTTTATGAACGGTTAACATGGACTAATAAGGCAAAGGAGCGTGAATTTAAGCGTCAATATGTATCTCACGCTACAAAGAAATTGAAATTAATTGTGGATCTCACATCAGCAAATTGTAGCCATCAAGTGCAACAGTGAGTTTCAAGTGTTCTGTTAAATATTTGTTTTCAAAACACCGATTATAATGTTATTTTTGTATGATTGCAGAGAGCTGTCTAGCACATTTGCACGTCTGTGCCATTTAATAGACGAGACAACAACTGAAATGGTCTCTGAGTTGAAAAATATCGCGAGTACAATTCGAATACTTGAAGAAGCAACCAGTAGCGCTAAGGTTTTACGAAATAAGGCTAATTATTTAACTAATGAACTCGATTTGTTTGATGCGGCATATTTAAAGTCATTGAATTAAGCATAGAATGACATTATTTGTAGGGAAATAATGCAGGTTATTAAAAATCGATGTTAAGGACATCGTTTCGTGTTTCGGAAAATGTATCTATGCATGCCAAAGTGATTAAAATAACATAACGCTGCGAACAAATTAATAATGAAATGTTAATTGCATGTCTAGGTGTGTTTTCCCAAACAACCAGTTGTGCGTACAAAGGGAATGTTTTTACAAAAAAACCTTATCTAGTCTTAAATATGCAGGCAACCTTATCTCCTAACTTTATTAATCTAAATTTTTAATGAATTTGTTATAGTTTGAATAGGAAATTTCTTTTGTATCAAAATCGGCAAGAAAATCTTTCATTCATGAACTATCAATGAATTTTTGAATGTATTTTGTTTTTAATAATCTATTTTGAAGTGAATCATGCTAAAAGATTTTTTTGCTAATATAAAGCGAGTGTTTTAATATAAATGTTATAATGTAATATTGCAGAGATACATGAATTTCATTTATATAGAAACTGGTATGATGCAATTATTAGATTTATTAGATTATATTTATAAAGAAGCTAATATTGTATTAATAAAAGGTTGTTCGTTGAAGAATTTGTATTTTTTTGTTATTGCGAAAAGCAAGCATAATAAAGGAAAAAAAACTTCAGTGTATTATATATATAAATATTGCGCGCTTTATTTAAACGAGACTACAAACCCCTATAAATAGATAACCTCCTAGTTGCTCTTATAGCTCATATACTTGACTTTGTAACTTCTTTGCTCGCGTTTTCCAGATGGACATAGAAAAAAAAATTTTAAATGTATTAAAGTCTACGCGGATATGGTTTTTCGGTAATTATTCCTCCGCGGCATGCGCAGGAGGAAAATACACACGATAATGAGTATGCAAAATCGTTAATTACTCACTTTCTGAGCACAGCCTGTGAACTTTTATGATTAAAGAATGGTTAGCAATGCATTATTTACATGGTTCAATAATAAAAGTTCATAAATAATGTTCTAGTAATGAGTAATTAATTATTTTGTTGCAGCCTTGCGATACGTACATGAGCCGCCTATGTCAATTCTACTGCGCATGCAAAGTGCAATATTTCGGCACTTTGACGACG